ATTATTTATCCTTAAAAATAAAGGATCATCACAATGTGGAAGGATCCTTAGAGACGTTTGTAAGTGAAACAGCCCAGACACAAAAGGACAAATATTATATGATTCTACCATGAGGTACGTATAGGGGAGTCAAATTTACGGAGACAGAAAACAGGATAGACATAGCCTGGGCTGGGGGAAGGGGATGGGGAGTTATTGTTTAATGGGTACAGAGTTTCTGTTTGGGAGGATGAAGTTTTGGAGATGGTTGGTGGTGATTGTTACAGGACAACATTGTGAATGTATTTAATGCCACCGGATTATATACTTGATGGTTAAGATGGTAGATTTCATGTGTACTTTACCAAAAAAAAATTTTTTTAAGGACCCTTTTAAAAAAAGAGTTCAAAAGATCCTTGGAAACTAAGTAAATTCCCACAAATCGATGCCAACTGGATTTAATTATGAGGCCCTTAGGCACAATGGATAGTGCCTTTCCTGGTCCCTTGAGGATAATCTTTGGGCAAACCCTAGACTCAGAAGGCATTTGTATTGTCGATCAAGAGGCAAGAAGTATGGTCCCCATTTCCAAATGGTTATCAATGGTGCATTTTCTCAGTAGTAAAGGATTCACAGAGTGAGGTTCTATCTTCTTTCTTTGCAAGCAGGGAATGAATGGTGCAGGAGGTGGGAAAAGCCAGAGTATAAAAAATGCACGGAAAATAGTATATGTCAAAGGAAAAGCATGGTCTGTCTGGACCAGATCAAAGTGATGATGAAGGATATGGTTAACACAAGCATGGATGAGTTTCTTTATGGCTACATTTTATCGTTCAAGGTGGGAGGTAGTCTGTAAATTAAAGACCCAAAATGGATGGATGAAGATAGTTCCAAAGTAGAAACTGTTATTAAGGACCTTTTTTTAAAAATGTTTTTAAATTTTATTTATTTTTTTATACAGCAGATTCTTATTAGTCATCAATTTAATACACATCAGTGTATACATGTCAATCCCAATCGCCCAGTTCATCCCACCCCTCCTTCCCCCCGCAGCTTTCCCCGCTTGGTGTCCATACGTTTGTTCTCTACATCTGTGTCTCAGTTTCTGCCCTGCAAACCGGTTCATCTGTAACATTTTTCTAGGTTCCACATATATGCGTATTTGTTTTTCTGACTTACTTCACTCTGTATGACAGTCTCTAGATCCATCCACATCTCTACAAATGACCCAATTTCGTTCCATTTGATGGCTGAGTAATATTCCATTGTATACATGTACCACATCTTCTTTATCCATTCATCTGTTGATGGGCATTTAGGTTGATTCCATGACCTGGCTATTGTAAATAGTGCTGCAGTGAACATTGGGGCGCATGTGTCTTTTTGAATTATGGTTTTCTCTGGGTATATGCCCAGGAGTGGGATTGCTGGGTCATATGGTAATTCTATTTTTAGTTTTTTAAGGAACCTGCATACTGTTCTCCATAGTGGCTGTTATCAATTTACATTCCCACCAACAGTGTAGGAGGGTTCCCTTTTCTCCACACCCTCTCCAGCATTTGTTGTTTGTAGATTTTCTGATGATGCCCATTCTAACTGGTGTGAGGTGATAACTTATTGTAGTTTTGATTTGCATTTCTCTGATAATTAGTGATGTTGAGCATCTTTTCATGTGCCTCTTGGCCATCTGTATGTCTTCTTTGGAGAAGTGTCTATTTAGGTCTTCTGCCCATTTTTTGGATTGGGTTGTTTGTTTTTTTAATATTGAGCTGCATGAGCTGTTTATATATTTTGGAGATTAATCCTTTGTCCGTTGATTTGTTTGCAAATATTTTCTCCCATTCTGAGGGTTGTCTTTTCGTCTTGTTTATGGTTTCCTTTGCGTTGCAAAAGCTTTTAAGTTTCATTAGGTCCCATTTGTTTATTTTTGTTTTTATTTCCCTTATTCTAGGAGGTGGATCAAAAAAGATCTTGCTGTGATTTATGTCAAGGAGTATTCTTCCTATGTTTTCCTCTAAGAGTTTTATAGTGTCTGGTCTTACATTTAGGTCTCTAATCGATTTTGAGTTTACTTTTGTGTATGGTGTTAGGGAGTGTTCTAATTTCATTCTTTTACATGTAGCTGTCCAGTTTTCCCATCACCATGTATCGAAGAGACTGTCTTTTCTGCATTGTATATCCTTGCCTCCTTTGTCATAGATTAGTTGACCATAGGTACGTGGGTTTATCTCTGGGCTTTCCATCTTGTTCCATGGATCTATGTTTCTGTTTTTGTGCCAGTACCATATTGTCTTGATTACTGTAGCTTTGTAGGATAGACTGAAGTCAGGGAGTCTGATTCCTCCAGCTCCGTTTTTTTCCCTCAAGACTGCTTTGGCTATTTGGGGTCTTTTGTGTCTCCATACAAATTTTAAGATTTTTTGCTCTAGTTCCATAAAAAATGCCATTGGTAATTTAGGACCTTTTTTTTAAACAGAATTTTTTTTTTCAGAATCCAGAAAAGATAACGGCCTTACAGTCAAGGAGTGAGAATGCCAGGATTGCAGAGAAAATAGGAAGAAACACACAATTCAAGGGCAGTCATCACTCCTCCGACATTGACAAATGCAGCTAAGTGATAGAGGAAGGAAAGGTTTGGTGGCCAGCTAGCACTGATTCTTATTAATAAAAGCAAATTTTGGTCACAGTTTTTAGTGGCCTATGGGAAATAGGTAAAGCAATTGATTTAATGATAAGCATTTTAAGAGACAGAAGAAAAATAATTGTGACAGCTCCAACCATAAAATGTTTCCAGACATTTCAGTTGGACTGAGCTTGACAGTACAGTTTATCCTGTGCATTTTTTAAAATAAATGAGAAAATTGAGGTTTAGTGGTTCTGAATGATTCATGCAAGAGTTCATCATTTCTGGTCAAATCAAGACTGTTCACAAAATAATCCACAGGACATGGGGTTTCATCATTAAGGCACAGAAAAAGCTGATGAAATGAAACATCTTTTTTTTTTTTCTTTCTTTTTTAAAGGAAGCTAGGGTTAAGAAAATGGATGGATTGGGCAGGTCATGGATTCTTTTCAAGGCATATTTAACTTTGAAGTGTGAGATAAATCTAATGACTATATAATCATATTATTTATCAGTACGGCTCTATCCCTGGCCTCAAACAGTGAGTGGAGAAAAAAAATTTAAGTAGGAAATGAGAAGGGCTGCTTAGGAAGGGTCAGGCAAAGGCAGACTCAGCACAGTTCTAGACACATAGCAGACATCACAGTGGCCAGAGTAGAAATAAAGGAGAGGACAGTAAAAAGGATGACGATCAGGCTAGAGAAACTGGAGCCAGAGTCAATTAAATAATGAAAATGTCATAGGAATAGATGGGCCTGAACAAGCAGGGAACAGACTGGCGAGACAGCTAGAGACACACATCGAAGGACTGATGAGGGAAACAGACTCTGGGCATTGTTATCACACGGGAGATTTGCAGCTTAACTTAGGACACAGGATGATGCTGGTCAAAAGAGATCTGCTTCCAATTTTTCCGTGTATTCATTATATATGGCTCAGGCTAGCAGAGTTTATCATTCAGCTCATACAGAACTTTTTACTCATGGCCTCATCAAATAGCAGAGGCCGAAGAGTCTGAAAAAGAGCTCATTATTTACAGCTAGATGGAGGAAGAGCTAAACGTGTTCAACACAATCATTTCACAGTTGGGAGCCAATGCCGTTTGGTGCTTTTGCATCTTAGTGGGTAAGAAGGGATCAGAAAGCTACATCCCCAAGAAAGTTCTCAATTCCAGATGCTCAGACGCTAGTGGGAAGGGGATTTTTCTCTAAAGAGGACTTTTCCTAAAATGAAAAGGCACACTCTAAGAAAAGTTAAAGTAGATCAAAGAAGGTAGAATCAAGGCCAAGTTTGGAAATGAAAACAAGGTATCGTTCTGGGGCCAGATGGTTACAAAAAGGGAAAAGTGACAACTAAGAGTCTCATTGAAAAGAAAGGCAGGAATCCAAAAAATAAAGATGCAAGATGACGTTTGGCATAAAGATTTTGATACAAGAAAGTATTGCAGGGTAAAAGGTCACCTAGAAGAAAGATGATATGGAAGTAAGAAGGGTGGGAAAAAAGGGGTGAAAAGATATTTGTAAGTTATTCAGTTGAGGGGAAATGTGGAGTTCGCTGGAAATGCTGAAGAGCTGTAATAGCCTAAACTTTTTTTTTTTTTAATTTAGAAAGAAAAAGAAGAAAAAAACTGTTCAGGCCTAAATACGGTATAAAAGTGCTTTGACTCATTCTATATAAAGGTAAGTTATTATTATTCTAGAATATTTACTTGGACTTTTCATGAGAAAGAACAACTGATCTGGGGTTTAAGGGGTAAGATCAAGTGGTCTGAAACAAGAACTATGTTTTGCTCTAAAGGTATCAGTTGATAGTAACTCATCAGGAACTCTGTTCCCTCTGAAAAACTGCAGTGAAATGACTGCAAAATTTTCTTGCTTCCTAGTGTTCCCTAGTTGACCAGCTGTTGCAGGCTTGAAATAAAGAAATCTGAACTTAGATAAGGCTTTGTGGGAAAACAGGTGGGAGAAAAATGCCATTGCCCAGACCAGAGGCAGACAACCTTTCAGGAGTGGAATGCCAAGTTGCTGACCCTGGTTCTTCAGGTCAGGGATGAAGGGCAGGGCCCTGGGAACCTGGGAGGTTCCAAGAACACCTCCAGCTCCAGTCAAAAATGTGCCCACAACTTTCACCTCTGTTTCATCCATCTTCCTTTGGGCCCTGTTTTCCTAATGTAAGTATTCTCTGGGAAAATGAAGCTCATCTGACCTGCATCTGTCTGGGTGTCTACATCAGATAAACAAACTACTTTCCGTAGAGCTAAAGATCAGAGCAGTTGCCCCAGGTGGACCACAAGGTTTTCCCCAGGAATCTGAAGCGTGAAGTGGACACCATCAAGTATGGTGCTTCTGATGAGAGGGTAGAACTTAGACCAGTAGGGTTAAGCCCATAAGGACACAACGGAGCAGTGGACACAGGCAGGATGAGGGGGGAGAAGTTACTTGAAAAGTGAAGGAAGCAGGGATCTAGGAGGTAGGAGGGGAAAAGGCACATCACTTCCCTTTGTGATGAAAACAAGCCCCCAAGGATGGTAAACACTTTATGATTACTATAAAGTGACTTTGGGTACGTGGACCATAGTTGGACAATGTCTAGACTAGACAGTAACCTGAATGCCCCTGAGGAGTTAATCAGTTAGCGCCAACCTAGGAATCTGGCCTCATCATGTACCAGCCAGGAGGAGCTAACAAAGGATGCCGTTTCTCATCATATGTGATCCTTCGAATATACCTAAAATATCAGACCCAGGAATTGGGGGATGAAAAGGACTCACAACAGAATGTATGATCCCTCTTTATTGTTACTTTTTATTTTGACAGTAAAATTAGAGGAGAATTAAGATGTTGAGCCTATAGCTATTAAAAGAACACAACCAACTGTTGGAAATTTAACTAGATAATTAGGGTTATAGCCCAAAACCTACTAACTAAATGTCCCACAATGGATTCATATATTAGAAGCAATTTCTATTTTCAGTTTTATTTCCTCCTGACGTAACGAAAATCCATTATTTTATTACTCTGTATTTGAGGTTGCACTGCCTTGTAATTTTCCAAAATTCATTTCTTTAAGCTTTAAACGAAAGACCTGCCATTCCACAATTTCATGATGTGACAAACAGGTCTGTACTTTCCCTGTCCATGGTTTTCACCATATAATTGAGGCTCTGAATGCAAATCTGTCTTCACGTCGATGAAGATATTTCAAAGACCATAAATTCTACAGTAGCGCTGATGTTTCTTGATGTTTGGGTTTTTAAAGTCCCCTTCTTCCTCAGTGATTACAGGATGCAATAGGAGAACAGGTGGGTGTTTTATTTCTACACTAAGACTTTCACTGGACGGTGAGCCATATTTTCTTAATTTGGGGAACCATACGATTGTCTCTTCCTTGATTCTATGGTGGGCCCATACAAAGACCTGGGGTTTCTAGAAAATGTGGCAGTAAGAATTCATCTTCCTTTGCTATTATTCAGCCATTCAGGGCCAATTGTAAACCATAGCACATCTATCTGGATTTAGCTGGTTTACAGAAGTCGAGCCATTTACTTCTATTTCTCGACACTTGGTTGTGTCAGGTGACAAGAAATACTGTCATGGCACTCTCATGGAGGCAAACTGAAGCTGCAGGACTTGAACTTGAAAAAGACTTCAGAAATGTTTTATCAGAATGACATTATTCCACCCGAAGCTGACTGATTCCACTTCCCAGAAATGCAGTGATCCATTTGTTACAAGCTGCTCCTGTATCTCAGTTGTAAAAAACCCAGCTCAGCGATGCTTCTCTTTAGTACTTCTCTTGACAAAGCACACCCTTAAACACTGATCTAGTTACCATAGTGGAGTCACTTACAGAGTTAGAGAAGGAAAGGTTTTCAAGAGAAAACCTAGAGTGGCGAGTGAAAGAATTACTAGCCGAACCTTAATTAAAGTCTGGTTTTTAGACCTGGTTTGGACACAGACTAGCTGTAACTGGTGTACTTCTTCGTCAACTGGAAACCTCAGCACCACTGAGGTGCTGATGTCTATGTGTGATAACAAAGTGTGATAATACTTCGTTATGAAGGCTCTCGTGTACATTATTAGATGGCATCTATAATCCACCATGCTTGGGACCCCAGAATATCTCCAGACATCACTTGGAATGAAAAATTGCTTTTCGTTGAGAGCCACTGTCTTAAGTGTTAGTTTTTTCATCTGTACGGTGGAATGTAAGTGGAGAGCAGGTGTTGGTTTAAGGGGAGAAGATGTACTTCGGGTAATCTGCTACATTAATATAAGCTGTTATCGCTTTATGGACCCATTTACTCACATATTAAATGTTGGTTATCTTCATGGGTAACAGATTTGGCAGGTCTCATGCAGGATGCAGGTGTTTAGAAGAAACGTATCCTCTTTACAACTGTAAAATCAGAGTTAATTTAGAGACACATCAATGTTTTAAACCCCTGCATAACCAGCTAAAGAAAGGACTCAAGTGCCAAGTGGGGATTTAATCCGCATTACCATTCAGGTTTATTCTAACTTTGAGGATTTTTGAAAATAAGGAAATTAGAGTGGGATTAATACTTCTGGAATAATATCTGTTCTCTAGAAGCTTATTAATCTATAGTTAATAGGACAAAATTAATTTCCCTTAAAATTTCTTAGTTACCGGAAGAATTTATACACTATAGGCGTGGCCTCAAAAGCAAACGATTCAGAATGAAGCCGTAGACCTCTGGTTGTTCTCTAAGAGGGGTGAGCTTGGAGGAAGGATGATTACAATGTTCAAATCAAGAGCACAGCCTATGATCTGATGTAGCCAAATGGAAGAAAGAAATCTGAGGCCAAGTCCGTGCACAACAAGAGGAAGTACTACATAAAGGCAGAAATGGAAAATTCCTGTTCTGAGGTAACACTGACCCAAGATCTTTATGCACTTGGCTGGGATCTAAAACCTCTACCACTCTTATGAAATCTTCTTAGAAGTTAGGCGGCTTTCCTGGAATGCTCTGTAGTCATTCATTTTAAAAATCATATGACCAAACAAAAAATCTACATGCAAGAAGAGGTTCTTTGCACTCAATTCTGTTCTTTTATTATTTCTTAACACAACAAGATGAAGGTTGCTGAATTCAGTTGTTAGATGCACTTGTGTCCTTGTGCAGGCCGCCTTCGCAGAAGGTCCGGCACATGCTTACTAGGGAGTCAGAAGCACAAACATGAGTTAAGAGAAAAGACGAAAAGAGTTTAAAATGCGTTTCTTGTTGCTGGTAGTGATGATTCAAGTAGAACAAAAAAACAGGCTGTAGCATCGGGAAATTGAGGGCCTAGAAGGGAAGGCTGTCGGCTGGGAAAGGGGACCTGGATTGGGGGTTTACTTAACCCCCGTGAAAGAGAATTAATAAATCCAGAGATTTAGAGCAATGATAGAATATCTAGAAACTTAAATTGTTTTCCTTCATTTTAATCCCGTGTGAGACTTCTCAAGAAGTATTTACTTCACCCGATGCAGCATCTATGTCAAATGCACAGTGAAACTGCATATTGTAAAACAACTTTAGTTTCTTTTGATTGACAGCACTGGAGAAGAATATTCTTTTAGAATACTGGAGTGTCTGGTCCTTTACATTTTAGCAGATATGGAAAATTTCCATGAGATTGGAGACATTTTCCTCTTGGGTTTAAACCTGTGATAAAAATGTTGCTGACAGACTAATTATGAATGTTTTATATAGTTTGTGCATATGTGCTCTTCTCTAAACCAATTTAGTTCCCATTAATGCTAATCTCGTTAATGCCCACTCAGAGAGGAAAGGAATACTCTTAATAAACTATTGATTTATTTGAGCTATCTAAATGGGGAACAGGCAGAAACAGATGGGAGAAGAGGAAAAATCACCACTTTACCCATATCTGCATTTCTTATTTTCCAAATACTAACGAATATGAGGTTATAACTGGTACAAAGAGGAAATGGGGAAAAATAAAGTGACAAAGTGACAGCCCTCCCTCCACCCATGAAAAATTGGGGCCTTGTAAATGAGATGTTGATTGACCTTTTTTTAGTACTAGCTGCAAGTTTAGAAATAAGATATTACAAAGAGAGGCAGATTTTCTTTGTTAAAAAAGAGGTTTATAAAATGAGATTCATATTTGTAAGCTCTTACTGAAGTGGGTTTTTTTTAAGAAAAAAAGGAAAATACAGTCAAAACAAGAATAGGTAAATTCTTCTCCTACCACACCTTGTACTCCTAGTGTGAATGGCCATCTTGTTCTCCATACAAGGATCCAATAATTTCTCTCAACTTCAATTGAGTCGAGATATCCACGTCTCAGGGTGCTTTAACTACCCAAGATTGGCTCTTAAAAGATGTTGTGTCCAAGACAGAGTGGTTTCCTTGAGTACAACTGTGTAAGGTGTCTGAGTGCCATAGAGGCTAGCCTAGAACTTAGAAAGCAACAGGAAACTCTCTCTGTTGGTCCCCAAACTAGCTAACCATTTCTAAAGGCTGTCTGTGCCTTTCCCATTCTCACCGGAAAAAGTGGCACAAAATAGGGAACAAGTGGAAGATGAGGTTTTGTTCATAGTCCGCCATCTGGCCTTAGGACACATCACTTAAGCTCCCTGAGACTCAGTTTCCTTATCTGTAAAACGGGGGTAATAATCTCCATGTATTATGTTGTTATATCACATCTGAGTATAAGGATCAAGAAAGATACTTGATATTTGAAAGCACTGTGGTAAGTGGGAAGTGATGTGCAAACGTACAGAATCACTAACTGGGAAAGGGGTTAAGAAAAAGTGGCACAGGAGAAAAACTAAAGGGAGAAGAACATAAGGGTAGACATCAGTCTTATCCGGGCTTTGTTAAGAAAGGAGAGCGAGCACGAGCTATACCCTCAGGATTTTCTTAAAAGTTTTCATGGCAGCTGACGCTCATACTTCGTCACTGTGCGCATGAAACATGAAGTGGAAATGGAAAACGGAGAGAATTTAGTGAGATGCGTGCAGGTTTCCTTTTTTGTTTCTCCAAATGTTTGTGCGCGCAGTTGTACATGACGGTGAGGGCGGAGGCGAGAACAATCTCGAGAACAATCTCTTTAACAACATTCATGGGAAAAAAATACTGAAATATCAGCAGCGCAAATATTCAACTGCCTCTTCTCTACCGATTGGTAAAAAAATATATTATCTTCTGATTTTTTTTTTCTTTTTAAATTATAAGGTTATCCGTCCCAGCCGAAGTCGTGGCCCGTCATCTGGTAGAACTTGCGGTTGAAGGGCCGGTAGAAGTCGCGCAGCCGCCGCAGGACCTGGCCGTCGATCTCGGGGTGGGGTCTGCCCTTGGTCTTGCCCAGGCAGTGAGGGCGGCCGCTGCCCTCGGCCTTCTTGAGGCAGGGGAAGCCCTTGGTCTGGTTGAAGTAGAAGTGCTTGTCGGAGATGATGCGCTTGAGGCCCAGGAAGTCCTGCACGCGGCCCAGCTCGCCGGCCGGGTCGCGCACCAGCCGCTCGCCGCTCACGAAGAGCAGCTGGCGGGCGGGGAAGTGGCGCAGCCAGCGCTCCAGGTGCTCGGCGTACAGGCCGATCTGGATGGCGCTCCACGCCCGGTCCACGAGGCCCGCCGTCCGGTTCCTGAAGGCCAGGCTCTCGAAGCTGGGGATGTCGGGCCGCTTGGACAGCGTCTGCGTGTAGTCCGAGACGGCCCTGGTCACCGGGTCCCGCACCACCACCAGGAGCTTGGTGTCCTTGGACATGGCCGAGATGCGCGCGGGCGCCTCGCGCGTCACGAAGTAGCTGGGCGTCTTCTCCATGGTGATCTGCCCCTCCAGGGTCCTCGGCATCAGGTCCCTGCGCGGAGCAGAAAGGCACGTTAGGGCCTGAAAACTGAGCTCCTTCCCAGCAGAGGGAGGGTCTTACAGACCCGGAGCCTGAGTTGAGGTACCCACTGCTCCGCTTACTAGATGTGTGACCGTGATCGCAGAGAAGTCGCACAGACGCAAGGCTGTGGACCCCTGGTTCCTCGCGGACGTACTTAATGGGAAATAATAACACTACTGATCTCCTACGGTTGTTATGATGATTCAACGTATTAATATACCTCAGCAGCTTAGAAAAGTGCCTGCCACAGAATAAGCGCTGTGTAATTTTTATTTTTTATAATTATCAACCCACAAGGCTGTAAGAAAATAACCTTGATCTAATTCTTTAGGTGAATTAGGACAGTGTAATAAACACAATTGTATGACTATGGGATGGTGTTAAGATACCCTGAGCCCTTTCTGTAGTTTTCTAACAAACAAAGCAATTACAGTCAACATGATACCCTTGCATAGTACACAAAATACTTCTCTTTATAATTCCTGAATTTTCCTGTAACAAACAAGACATGAAATAATCCATCTTTTATCTAATAATTTCAAATGCCATCCTTCCAGTAGTCTGAATATCTTGGTTCCTCTTTCCATTGGCCCAGTTATCACATTATGGTATATTTTCATGTACATCAAAGTAAATTCTGACTCTGTTGTTCAAAACGTTCTAATGATTCTTGTCTGTTTATTCTTCCAGATGAATGTTAGAATCACTTTGTCCTGTGGAAAAAAGAAATCCTGTTGGAGTCTTGATGGAGCGGAGATTGCTACCTAGTTCAAGCACGCGTTCCTGCTGAGAAGTGATGGGTCTTGAAGCCAGTCCAAAACTGTGAGTAGGAGAGATAAAACCTATTTATTCTTCCAAAAGTGTACTGCCATTAAAGCCACTATCTATTATATATATGAAACACATACACACATACATATATATATATATATATATATTCTAATTTTAAGGCACCATCTTGCTAATTCCAAGTTTTATAAGAAATAGACATTGTTCAAGTCAATATTAGATAAATGTATTTGGGAGATTCATTGCAATGACAAAATGTATTTTGTCCTTTGATCCACTGATCCAAACTGATAAGTACCCTAATATTAGATTCACTTTTATTCCTGGAGTAAACCCTATTTGATCATGGTATATTATTCTTTCAATATAGTCCTAGACTTGATTCATCATTATTTTGCTTTGGATTTGTCATCCATATGCATTAATGAGATGTTCCTATAGTTTTTTTTTGATCAATAGCTTAATCAATTCTGAGAACATGAATTATTCCACAAATAAAATGAGAAATGTTTCATAGTTTTCTATATCCTAAAGAAGTTTCAATAGCAAAATAATTTTCTATTCCTTCAAAATTTGATGGGTCATCTACAAAGCCACCTAATACTGGTACTTTTGGGGTAGAGGGTAAGAAAGGGATTAGAATCTTCAAGTATCTTTTCAGTTTCTTCTGTGGTTATTGTTTTTGTAATACTCTACCTCATCTTGTGTCAATTTTGGCAATTAATATTTTTCTAAATGAATTATTTTTAAGTTTATCTCAGACAGACATAATATCAACTGGTTCATAAACAATCTGGTGCCCATCTGCATTACACCCGGCACAGATGCCTCAACAGTTGTGGCCATAAGCCACTCGTGCTGTGTTAATTTAATGACGCAGGTTTTCTCACACTTTTGCCACCTTTGATATTTCAGTCAAGTTATCTTTACTTTTTTTTGGAGGGGGAAATGATAATTAGATATCTCATTTCTGTTGCTTTTTTCTTTGTTGTTTTAAAAATCTGCAATTCCTTTTTCAAAAGAACTTTTAATGTGTGCCCATTTCCCATTTCTTAAAAACGCCTGAAGGTCTGGGTAGGAGAAAGCAAAGACCAGGGAGGTCAGTGTTGACACAAGGGAGACACAGACTGTCTTTACCGCCGACGCAATGCTGGAGCCACTGCGTGACATGAATTCACAGATTTCACCACTGTATATACATATACATACGCACTATATATATGTATTCCCTTCATGGAATTGAGAAATAGGCTAGACCAACCTACTTTGGAAGTTTAGTTACACTTTTATTATAAGATGAGCCAGGAGATCTATCCAGAAACTGTTGGACTATCTCAGTGAAGAAAATTGGCTCAAAGGTGTGAAAAAGTTTTGGACTGTAAAAGCGAACATCAAGCATCACTGAAACTATAAGAAGGAGTATTTGGTGATGTTTTTTGAAGTCAGCATTCTTGCCTCCTTCCCTATCATCTCTGACTTTTAACCACTCGACCTCATATTTCGGCCAGTAAAATAGAGATAACATACTTCACGTGGGAGCTACTGGTTGGTAATCTCAGCCTTCCTGCCCTCCGGCCCTGGGGAAAAGCAGAGACTCCCCAGTAGCCTTTCAGCAGAGATTAAAGCTGAAGAATGTGCCGTTCCAGAGGAAATGTTACCAATATTTCTGAAAAAAGAACCATATTTTAAATTATCTCAATAGGGTAGGAAAAAGAGCTATCCAAAATAGGAGGAGTTCGAAGAGGAAGCAGCTAAAATAGGATTTCAGAGGAAAAACACATTAATTACTGTCATCTACAGGATGAGGAAAGCTGATGGGTTTAGCATCCCCATTGGGATGGGGAGTCGGGTTAACTATGAACTCTCTGCAGTCTACTTTCTCAAAAACAAAGACGTGCGAGTGTAAATAAATCCTCAGTGAGGCTTACATTGTAGAGCACAGTTGTTTGGTAAAAGGAGTCACAACAGAATTCTTTAAAGAGCAATCTCCCTTTTAAATTCTACATTCATTTTCTTATTGCAATTTGAATTTTAACGTTCAGAAAGGAGCTCCTCTATCACATAAAACAAAATGCACATGTACTTTGGAATATCGTATTTCGAGGTGTTTAGGCAAACTTAGAAATCTTCCTTCCTTACCGGAGTGAGGCATGTACTGTGACTCTGCTCTGTGCAAGGGCTCGGCCTGGGATGGGCGATGAAAGAGCCATCCCAGTACGATGAGAGCTTTGCAGAAACACCAGGCACGCGAGGGGAGCGGAAAGGTGTACGCAATGAGAAGACATTTGAGGTTTGTCTAAAGACAGGACAAGCTGGGGCGGAGGGTGAGAAATTCCATTGAACGATGGGAAGGGGAGGTCCTAGGACGCCTTAACTTCCAGGCAAACAGTATTGGCTATATTCCATTCACTTCTCCATAGTGAAAAGAATTTGGAGACATTTATAGTCAGTATAGGAGAGGAGAAATGGGTAGAAACTAGAACAATAAAGAAAAATTAGAGACGCTTATTTGTTTTCTCCTGAAGATGACAAGGAGAAGAAGGGGTTTTACAAGCAAATGAAGGATTATAACAGGTGTGTCCCACACATTTGTTCTTTGTCCCCAAAGAACAAAAGAATTCTCCATAGCCAAAAAGTAGAAGCAACACAAATATCCATAGAGGGCTGAATGGGCAGGCAAAATGTGATCTCTCCATGCAGTGGAATATTATTCAGCCTTAAAAAAGGAACAGGATTCTGACACCTGCTGCAACGTGGATGAACCTTGAGGACTTTATGCTGAGTGAAGTAAGCCAGACACAGAAGGACACAGATTGTGTGATTCCACTTGTATGAGGTCTCTAGAGGAGTCGAATCCACAGAGACGGAAAGTAAGATAGTGATCGCCAGGGCCTGGGGGTGGGGGGACGAGGAGTTCGTATTTGATGGGGACAGAGTTTTAGTTTTTCCAGATGAAAAGAGTTCTGGAGAGTGATTGCTCAGCACTGTAAATGTACTTACCGCTGTTGACCTGGACATGTAAGAATGGTTAAGATGGTAAATATTATGTCTGTTTTACCCTGATTTATTAAAAAGAGAACTCACCCAGAGGGCAAAGACTTCAAATTGCATCGATAGACTTGAATTAGATAAATGAATCTTTTTGGCTTTGCAGGTAATTAAACACTAGCATGAGGTACCTGAAGAAGATGGTGGCCTTGCTTTCCTCTTGCAAGACCAAAGGGGAATAAAATCATGATGAGAGAGATTTTATGGAGCTGAGATCAGAAATGTTTGCCTGTGTCATTTCATTTCCTTTTTGTTTACCTTTTTGTTTATGGTGCTTCTGATTTTTTAACTACCAGCAGGGTGACCATGTGCTACTCATAACCTTTCCAATCTCGCCAGAAAAATCAAGCCAAGAGCTTGGGAAATCTGGATTGTAACGAAGTGTCAGCATGACAATTTCTACAAGGAACACACCCAAGCACTGCTCTTAAGAAAGTGACGCCCAGTGTACAGAATTCCCAGCCATCGGGAGAACCCCATTCTGTCCAGATAACTCGGGTCCAGAGGAGATCAGAGACCCCCGGGCGTGTTCCTGGGACGTTCACACACCTGCTCGCTTGAGGCCTCCCGCTGAGGACGTCCAGATGGTAAGGAGGCTGATGTGCGGGTTGTGAGCTGGCAAAGCCGAATTCTCTGGAAGGACAGCGGCTGGCTGGTTCTGGTGGGAGAGATGAGCTTGGCTTCTCAGGGGCAAAACCCCCCTGTAGTGTTAGATGTCAGGACAGCTGTTGCCTTTGTGGAGGGGGGCGCTTAGTGACCAAAAGGGGCCACAGGGGGCTTCTGGAAAGTCAGGAATATCCCAGTGCAGGACCTGGGTGCTGGTTTCACAAGTGTATCCGCCTTGTGAAAAGTCACTGAGTTGTATGCCAGGATCTGTGTCCTTTTCTGAATGGTGCTATACTTCAATAAAAAGTTTACGACACTTATAGAGGGCAGAGGGGAAGATGGCGGAAGAGTAAGACGCGGAGATCACCTTCCCCTCCACAGATACACCAGAAATACATCTTCATGTGGAGCAACTCCTACAGAACACCTACTGAATGCTGGCAGAAGACCTCAGACCTCCCAAAAGGCAAGAAACTCCCCACGTACCTGGGTAGGGCAAAAGAAAAAACAGAGACAAAAGAATAGGG